TGAGGCATGTATTGGCTTGGGGTGGGGGGATTTGGTGTGAGTAGATACCGAGGGCATCATCGCAAGCCTGTTGGAATGATAAAGTTGACAAGGAGAAGTTGGTGACTCAGGAGAGATGTTCTTGGGGAGGTGCAGGGGTGGGGTCCAGTACACAAGGTCCTCTGGTAGGAGCAGGGATGGTTTGTGCTGAGTGGCTGGAGGGCAGCTGGAGAATGTGCAGGGTTGTAGACAGACTTGGTGAGGCGATGATCGTTTTGTTTCCTCAATGGACTGTGGGGTAAAGTCACCCTTGAGGGTGCGGGATGGGGGGTGAAGAGGCTCTAGGAGGTCTGAGGAGGGAGAGGGTCTGATTTTTAGCTACTTGGAAAGCAAGCCCTCATACAAGGCAAGTGCTAAGATTGTAGGGCAGGCAGAAATGCCCCTTGGAGATCTCTGGCCATGAATTTGAAATGAGAGTCAACACACATCAGAGCCCTGTGCTCTTCTGCATCAAGGTTCAGCTGGGCAGGTACTGACATGAAGCAGGTGGATGGTAGGGATTAAACCAGGGTTGGACATTGCCAGCTGATGGGACAGAGGGAGAGAGGGTGTTTGTAAGTAAATCAGTGCGAGAGAGGATAAACAAAGTGTATTGCCTGCAGCTTAATTTTGCTCTGTGGTAAGTAATCAAAGGCAATATTTTAAAACAAATCTGGGTTCATTTTGGAGAAGGAAGAAAGCACACGAAGTTTTTGGATAACTCAGTAGACTTCAGATATGGTTTCCCTGTTTCAAGTGCTGCTTCCAGCTAGCTATACCCCCTGGTCTTCATGGGGTGAGTTCACTTAGGTGGGAAGTTTGGGAAGCTTTGGAAAATTCTGGAAGGCCTGTCCTACCGGTGTGACCCCCTGACCCGCGGGCCCCCTGGCATTTTCACACGGGCTGTCTGTGAAAGTTGGACACGGTCCAACTACGAGCAGTAACAATATTAATGGGATGGCAGAGGCTGTGCCCCTAAGATGGTGTGGACAGGGAGGGCTGGGGACCAGACCAAGACCTCCCCGGGGGTAGGGCAGGTGCTGCAGGGGTGGGTGGGGGTAGCAGACCCTTACACTGTCAGAGTCCAGCCTAGAGGCCAAACAAGTCAGAGGAGTCCAGGTAGATTGTGGAGCAGGAACAGGTTGAAATACAACAGAGTCCCTCCCTCTCTCCTACCCCATCGCCTCTAGGGCCCAAGGGAGGCGACACTCTGGGGGTCCAGGCAAGTGACTCAGGCAGACTGGGTCTCAGGGAACAAGTCAGGGACCTGATTCCCAGAACTGGGGCACCAGGTGGGGATGGGGTGTTGGGAATGAGGCCAAAACCCAGTTATCAGAACTAGGACACTTTCCATGTGGGACTTGTGTTCTTTACATCCTTCCTGCATAAATCCTGGGGAGTGGGGTGTGTCTGTGCCTGGGAGCTGGCAGAACGATCAGTCTGAGAGGCCAAAGTGGTGAGGCTACGGAGCACCAAGACGGCGCCTCCTGTCTTTTTCTGATGCCCTGCCCTAGGTAGCCGTCCCCTTCCTGCCCCACACCCCCCAGGCTAACTCCACCCTTGCAAGAAGAGCCTCAGAGTAAACATTGTTTATTTTGAACATTCAAATTTACAAAAACAAAAAAGTAACAAAACCCAGGACACATCTCATACACATACACACACACACGTTGCATCTCATGTCACTTTATGCACAAAATTGGGCGGGGAGGGGGGGCGGGTGCACTAATTTCACAGTGTCAGACAGCTGGACGTGCTCACTCACTGCTCAGCCTGGGTCCACGAGAGCCCCTTCCCCACCCAGCAGGGGTGAGGTGGGGTTTGGGGTGGCAGGCAGCTGGGACAGAGGGGAAGAGAATGATCCCATCTTTGGGAGGGGACCCTTTCTCCAGTCTGCTCCGGGCAAGGTGCTGGGAAATGGAGAGGAACCAGGGACCCAGTTCTTGGTGGCGGGTAGGGACCACTGCATTGTGGAGAGTCAGAAAGCTGAGATCAGGTCTCCGGGTGTCCTGGTTGGGTGGCCCCAAGGGCCACTCACCTTCCCGGGGCCCTGGCATCCTCATCTATAAAATGAGGCTTCAGGAGGGCCTCCTGAAGAAACCTTCCTGCCCAAAGCTGTGGTCCTAGGTCATGCACGATTGTGGCAAGGTGACCCGTCCCCTCGGGATGTTGACTGGGGATACAGCATGCCACAAAGGGGGGCAAAATCTGGCAGATAAGAGCTGTGAAGCACCTGGCGCAGGGCTTGACCCAAAACAGAAGTTTGAGAAAGATCATCTCCCCCGTTCCCTGCCTGGGACTCTTGGGAGACCGTCCAGCTTCCTCTTACCTTTGAGTTCTGGAAACGAGAGCCAGTTGAAGGGCTGAGGTGGTGGGCACACTGCAGAGACCCCTCCCACGGCCTCCCCCAAGGGGATCCCGGCCCTGGGGCCAGCCCATCCTGGGCCTCTTCCTCCATCACCAACCCTATGAGGGTAGTGAATGGGGGTCAAGCACATCTCTTTAGGGAAAAACCCATTGGGAGCAATGATGCTCAAGTCCCACTCCACAGAGAGTAGGGGTGCCGGTCCCTTTGGCCCTGGCTGTAACCTGCCTTGGTTTGAGGTCTGGACTCCAGCACCTGCCAACTGATCGACACTGGGCAGATTACTTAACCTCTCTGTGCCCCAGTTCCTTCCCTTGTATCATGGGGCTAAGAACAGCCCCAGCTTACGACTGTGTTGTGAGGATAAATGAGATGTGAGGTGCTCAGCACAGTGCCTGACATTTAAAAAAGATGGAACAAACAGGCTCCAGCCTCACCATTAGCCAGAGCAGCTCAGGGACACAAGTGAGCGCCATTTCTAGCTCCTCTTTCCCTGTCTTCTTGGCTGTGCCCAGGAGCAGCTAGACAAGACCAGAGCTGGCGTCCAAACAGCAGCCATTCAGCAAAGGTGAAGAATGATCAGTGGATGAAGGAGGGGTGGGGACTTTCGGGCTTTCACCTTCCTGGAATGGAAATGGGCACCCAGGCCACTCACCAATGGCCCAGACTCACAGTCTGCACCTCAACGCCTCTAATTTGTTCCTGTGCCCTTTGGAGGGCTGACCAGGGTGACTCAGCATGGAACCAAGGTCAGATGTCTCATCTTTGTCACCATGACAAAGCATAAAGGACTTGGGATGATGCCTCTGGGTAGGCTCAAGTTCTGTCAGTTCCCTCCTAGACCCTTTCTTTCCCCAAGGCCTCCACAAAAGCTGCTTCCTTAAAACCGGTAACAGAAACCCAATAAAGCCCATTGTCCCGGGAATCCGGGTTCTGAATCTGCTGTCGTCCCAGCAACAGCATATGTCTAAGAGACGCTTGACCCAGCACGTAGGCTGTTACCAGGGCAACCTTGGTCTCAGCAGGTTCTGGCTGAAGCACGCCATCGCTTCTTCTTCTAGGGGGAGTTGGGCCCGTGGTGCTGAACGGTCTATTTGTGCTCTTGAACTGGCAACAAGGGAGGGAACTGGGGGCTGGAGGCAACAAGTCTTGGAGAAGCCTCCATGGCAATGGGCCCCACAGCCTGCAGCTCTTGCATCTTGCCTCAGGTTAAGTGGTGGTGGGGAGCAGAGACAGGGAACAGAAAGCGGGGCAAAAGGCACTGGTACCTGCTCGAGTCAGGTAGCCTGCAGCTGCCCAGACACCTGGTAGGTGACTGGCAGAGGGAACACCTGCCTTCCAATCCTGCCAGAGTGCCTGGGGATCACCCCTCTCCTCCCCCTACTTCCTGTGGTTGGGGGGGGTCTCGATGCCAAGATGTTTGTGTGTTTCATAAAGGAAGATGTTCATGTTGGAAAGCATTCTGACCTCTTTAAAATGTCTGTCCTCTAAGGTGAAGGCTGGACTCAAAGACACTCACGGGCAGGCAGTATGGTGTAGGGGGGAAGAAGACTGAAGAGGGTGTCAGAAGCCCTGGGTTCTAGCCTTGGTTCTGCCACATTGTGCTGTGTAGTCCTGTGTAAGTCACTTGACCTCTCGGAGCTCATCCCCATCTATACAAGCAAGAAGTCAGACTGGGTATTTTCATTCTTTTACATTACAGCTTTTACATTCTTCCACTCTCTTGGGGGAGCTGGTGAGGACTCAGGGTAGGGAGCTGGAAGCCTTTAGCCCTCTCAGATGGGCAAGGGTTCCAGGCTGGAGGGGGAGCGATCCAGAAAAGCTGGTTTTTACAATCTGTGCATGAGGTTGGTCTGCCTTACCCCTTGCCCTTGCCCCTGACTCTCTGGAGGCAGCTCCTGACCCTGACCCATGCCCGGCCAGATCTCATCTGCTGCCTACTCTCAGGATCTGCCCTGGTTCCTAGGTAGCATCAGCCTTGCCCCACCTGATCCACTTGGAATCACAGACCACCTCACGTTTGATCTGGAGAAATGACCAAAGCAAGGGCCTCAGCTCACAAATGAGGAAGGCCAAGCCAGAGAAGGCAGGGACTTACAGAAGGCCACACAGCAGGTGAGCAGCTGGGCTGGCTAGGAACCATGGGCTCCTTCTCATCTAGTGCTCTGTACACCACTCCGTGCTTCTCCCCTCTTTGCCCACTCGGTTTCTCCCTTCTTTCCCCAGAGGCTGCGGGGCCATGCAGAGGGATTAGGTAATGTGGCTGTGCCGTAACCTGGGTCCCCTGGGCACATGCCTCTGTCACAAGCTGCTCCCAGCCTAGGCTGACGTGACCCAGGCCCTGTCCTAGGCACGGAGGAGGAGGGGTGACCTGCCAGTTAGCACACATGTGGGTGGGCACAAGGGGTGACTATGGCCTTTTGGCCTCCCAGGGTCTTGGTCCCTCAGGCTGGAGCCGGGAAGGAGATGTACTGGGAATTGTGGGGGTGGGCCAGGCATGGAACCAACATTCAAACCACTGCACACAAAGAAACGAGGAAGGAGGAGGAAGAGAGAGGGTGCAGGAGGCTCCATCAGGATCCCCTTGCCCTTCACTGGCAACGGGTGGAAAGATGGAGGAGGGGTGAGTCTGAGTCGCCTATGTCCCTGTCACCCCTTTCTCAGCTGGGGGGACAGCTCTAGAGCTTGTTGTGGTCCTGAAGGGGAAGGGGCCAGGCCTGTTGCTTGGGGGACGGGGGGGCAGACAGCCACGCCTACCACTGAGATAGTGGGCCCTTCCTCCATACATGACCCCATGGGACATGCTGTTGAGATCAGTGGCATCAGACCTGGTGGATGGGCCAGGGTGGGTGGGGGTAAGACAGCTCCAGTGTGATGCCGAGAGGGTGGACAGTGCTGTGGGCACTGTTGTCACCCCCCACCAGGCCCTGGACTCACCCCAGGCTTGACCTGTTGGCTTGAGCTGCTTGTCCCCATCCAAGTGGGGTTAGGGGACAGCCACTGCAGGGCAGGGCATTCTGGAGGTGTGGGTATAGGTGGGGGGAAACAGGAGGCATGGCCAGGAGCAGGGCAGGAGGGAAGGCCAGTGTGTGGGTAGGCTGAGGAGGGAATGTGTACCCCCACCGTAAGGTCCCCAAAATGGCAGGCAAGGGAGGGACCCTGGATGAGGTGGCCCCTCATGCTTTGGCCCTCCCCTTGCAGACATCAAAGGTGGTCTTCTTTGCACCCCCAAAGGCCTCCACCAGCTTGTCTTCCCAGGGGAGGACGTTGCCCAGCAGCGGCCCGGTACAGTTGGCAATGCCCAGGACTTGGGCAGGTGTCAGGGCGTGGTCCCACAGGTTAAACTGGGCGATGTCACCCACGAAGGCCTGGGTGGCATCAAACCGACCACCCAAGGTGTCCTGGGCCAAGAGAGCAGAAGAGAAAGGAGAGAGAGAGACATGGAGTGAGCCATCAGGAAAGACAGGCAGACAGACTCAATCAGGCCCCAGGTCCTGCTGAAGCCCCGCCCATAAAGTTCTAGCCCCGCCCCAAGCTTCCCCCTCTGTCCCCAAGGTTCCAGCCCCTTGGGCTGGTCACTGCTCATTCTGAGTCTCAGTTTGCCCATCTGCAGAATGGCTGGGTCAGACTGATTACTGCTGTGCTTCCAGGGTCCCTTTACCTAACCCCTCCTTCTCAGGGGCCCTGGGTGAGTATGATACCTACTCAGGCCTCAAGCCCCCATACCACCCTGAGCCTTACCTGCTCTTGGCCCAGGATAAGGATCCCATGAGGCTTGATGGGGTGCCAGGCGGCTAGGTTCTCACCGGAGCCCTGCAGCTCCCCGTCCTGGTAGGCAGACCACAGGCCATCCCTTGTGGTCCAGGCGATGCAGATGTGGTGCCAGCCATTGTCCTTCAGGCTCAGAGGCAGCTGGGCCACCTGGACATAGGTCCCGCAACCCCAGGTCAGAGGTGCCACAAGTCCCAAGGCTGGACCAGTGGGGTGGGGCCCAGGAGACCCATGTCCTTTCCAGGGACTGAGCTGAGGCTTATCCTCCCCTTCCTCTCAACCCTGTGTCTTTCTGACCACTTTTTCCTCTTTCTGCACAACTTAACCAGGCAGCTTCTCTCAGATCACAAGGGACTATTCAGTATTGGTTTTCGGGTGTTTCCAGGTTCCTTATTCACCCCCTCACAGGCCTGTAAGGTCATGTGGGGCGGGAGCCACATTTCACAGCCTCTGAACACCTCACACAGCGCCTGGCACACGGTTGGGCTCAAGGAGTACAAGCAGCCTTGGACTCAGAGGCTGGGCACTGGCATCCAGCCCTGGCTCTGCCAACCAACTTCCTGTGGGACCTTGGGGAAGCTGCTCTGTCCTCCCTGGGCCTCAGTTCCTCATGCAGAGGATGCTAATGGTCAGGCAAAGGATGGCAAATATGTAGCCACCTCTGCCTCGTCTACCCAAGGCGGACATGGCTAATCAATCGTGAACCCAGGCTCAGCCCCGGGATCTTTCCTAAAACAGTGCTCTGGGAAGCCGCTGGTGATTGATTAGCATTGGCCTGTGAGATGAAATGTACTTGCTGCCTGTGGATTTGGGACTCCCAAAGGGCTCTTTCATCTCCAGAGTTCTGTGAGATCACACTTTAATACAACATTCTCTGAGGCCCACTTAGTGCCAGGCTCGTTCTGGACACTGGGGATGTGGATCTGGTCCTAGCTATAAATGAGCTGAGTCTGCAGGGGAGGGAAGAACTTCAGGGACAATATTATAAGGCAAAATAACAGGGGCCATTTGGGAGGTCCAGAGGAAGAGGCAGGTGTGGGACAGCAGACATGGTATTCAAACACCTCTGGAAGGACAATGGATCTGACTGTTCCCCTGCAAGTCAAAGCAAGGTGGGGGCACAGCCAGGAGCAAAGGCTAAGAGGCTGGAATAAAAGGGGAACTGAGTAACCTGTGAGGCTGACGTTTAAAAAGACGCTAGAGTTGCCGGAATAGGGCCGTGCTGTGCCCTGTCCAGGGTGCTGAATCCTTTCGCCTGAGAGCAGAGTGCTGAGCTTGGGCAGGGCCAAGGATGGCAGCCAGGGTGTGTGTGAAGGGGACATGGCAGCAGGATCTAGATGTACTCCAGCTACCCCAGTCTTCTTAGGACCTACTGGGCTACAAGAGAAACTCACTGTCCCCTGGGCCCATCTCCTTCCTCCTCCTCCTCCTCCAGGACACCCATGAAAGACACCTCCTGCTGAGCTGGGTTCTGATGGGTGACAGCCACTTCCCAGCAGCTCGAAGTGGCTGTGGGCTGGTCATAGGTGGGTGTGATACATGGTGTCTGCATCTCTGGGGAGGGTCTCAAAAGACCACCATGCCTGCAAATCCCAAAGCAATATGGCAGGTAGAGGCAGATACTGGGGTGAATGAGGATGATAAGACACTCCTCTTCTCCTGCTCAATCACATGCCACTCCCACACCACTCCCCCGTGTCCTTGTCCGGATGTCACCAATGACAAGGTGAGTGGGGGCTGGGCGGCCCAGGCATGGGGAAGATGGGTGGCCCAAGGGCAGAACAAGGGCACCAGTCTACTCTCCCGGTGAGGGGAGCGGCAGAGGGGCTGGTCGCAGGGGAGCGGGGGGCGAGGAGTCCGCCAGCACTCCCTTCCATAGGTAGGTCCCTGGGCCTCATTTGCTTCTCGTCTTGTCCAGGAGAATGAGCAGGGCCCTGGGACAGACCCTTTCAGCCCTGCTCCCGCAGCTGGGTCACTGGGGAAGCCCCACGGGCCTCCTCTGTAAATGGAAACGCCATCACTGACAGCATCTCTTGGATACAAGCCCCTCTTCAGCCAGCCCCAGGTCTGGTTTGTCTTTGTATCCCCAGAACCCAGCCTGCCACCCAGTAGGCATTTCCTGTGTGCTAAAGCTGCCGAGCAGGGGAATGGAAAGGGCCCACATGCTTGGGACCTAGTCCAGTGCAGGTGCTCCTGGAAGGGTAACTCCGCCCCCCACTTTCTTCCCACTCCGCCCAGCCCCCACTCACCTTGTCATTGATCAGCAGTTCCATGGGGTCGTGGCCCGCCTCCAGCAGCACAATCTCATTGGCCTGCCCGGGCACCGAGTAGGAGAAGGGCGTGCCCTGGCCACTGCCACCCGACCTGGAGCGCAGCCACATGCAGACGGTGAAGGCGTAGAGCTCAGGCAGTGCCTTCCGCACACGGGCATACATGTAGTTGTTGCGGATGGGGATGCTGATCTTGAAGGCATCTGGAGGGCTGTAGGCTGAGGACCCTGAGGGGAGTGGGCAAGGTGGACATGGTGGGGGTCAGTGGACACTGATGGGGGGGCAGGGCAGACTCTAGGATGAGGGCTCCTAGTCCCTGGGCATCTGCCATGTGCCAGGTGCCTTCATGGACCTCTCTACTCTGCCTCTGTGTTGACGGGTGTGGTTAAAGCACAAGGGCTCTGGACCTGAGATGTCCTGAGTTCAAATCCTGCCTCCACACTTTCCAGCCACGTGACATCCCACAAGTTCAACGTCACCTCTCCAGCCCGGGTTTGCTCAGTTAAATGACATAAATAAGATTTCCTCCCTCCCAGGCTTGTGTGAGGGCCGAGCGGGACAAACTACGTAAAGGGCCTGGCCTATAATAAATGCTCAACAAACCTGAGCTGTGGCAATGATCATTTTTCTGAGTTCTTTGCCTATTTATTTAATAGCACTACACAGAACCTTCTACCTGGCAGGCACTGTTCTAAATGCTTTCACATCATTCTTGTGACAACCCCATGAGGTAACCACTATTATAATCCCCATTTCACAGATGAGGAAGCCTTGGTGCAGAGATTAAGTCATATTCTCAAGACCACGTAGCTGGTCAGCGGCAGAGGTGCCATCCGAACAAGATCATCTTGGGACTCCTTGGTGTCCAGGGTGCTGCAGAGTTTCAGGGATTCTATGTCTTGAGTATCAGAGGGCTTTCTGCAGGGGTAGACTAGAGAGTCACCTCTTCCAAGGCCAGGGGGTAACACCTACCACACCCACCTCTAGGGTAGGAGGTCCCCTTCTCTAGCTGCTTGTTGAGGGCTGGGGTTAGGGGGTTGGGGCTGGGAATGGTGGACCTGGGTTCCCAGGTCTGGTTGAGGCTTGGGGTGAAGGCTGATGTGCTGATGCAACATGGTAAGAGAGGAAGGGACTCAGTGCCCCTTGAAACCCCTTTCATAGATGAGGAAGTTGAGTTCCAAGAAGGGACACAACTTGCTCACAGGCACACAGACATCCAGCCTAGCTGTCTGCCTCCTCTCTGCTCTGCAGCTTCTGGAGGGGTGTGTCCCCCAATCCCTTAGAATATGCAGTACAGGGGGCCAGTGGCAGGACTGAGGAGGGATGAGTTTGCCTTTCTTGTCTTTGTGCTCCAGCCAGGATGCGAGCCCTGAAACCCACTGGGTTGTGCCTCGCCTTCTGCCTTGCCCCTGCTCTGGCCCCTCCACTCCAAAACTGACTCTCTCCCTCTGCCTTCAAAGACCAGCCTGAGGCTCGCCTCCTTCAGGAAGCCTCTTGGATTTCCTTCTCCTGAACTCATGTCCCACATCTAAGCCAGTCCCCAATAATTGCTCATGATTTCCCCTGGTATCCCTAACTTGTCTGTAAGCCTCTTAAGGGTGGTCCTCACAAGGTTTCAAAGAGGAAAGGTCCCTGAGAGCTCAGGAGTCCTAGATCCCCACATTTCAGATGAGAAAAACGAGGCCTGGGGAAAGGAAGCAAAATTGCAAAGCAAGCCAATGACAGCTGTGGAGCCAGGAGCCAGGGCTCCTGATGCTCAGACCTGAGCACTGTCCATGACAGCACGTTTCTCTGACTCCTGGCACTGCAAGGCCCGGTTGCTAAGCAAGGAGCAAGATTCTGATTCACAGAAGGTGTGATTTTGTGGGGTGGTTAAATGCATGGACTTTGGAAAAGTCCAAACCTCAGACCTGATTTGAGGTCCAGATCCACTACTCACTGGCTGTGTGACGCTCGGCCTCAGTCACTTGACCTCTCTGAGCCTCAGTGTCCTCATCTGTGAAATGGGACGAACAGTACCACCCCCATGTGGTTTGTGAAGATTAAACCAGCTGACATGTCAAGTCCTTAGCCCACTCCCAGAACGTAAGGGCCAGAAAATGCTAACTGTTAAGAAAAATAAGGATATTCCCCAATTATTCTCTCCTTCTTGGGTTTCGCAGCCTCCTCCCCACTGTCCCATCTAGCTTTAGCCTCTGGAGAGCACAAAAATGTTTTCAAGTGAATCTGCCTCCTTGAGGACCCATCTGGGAACCAAGGCCCCGCATGCCGTGCCCTCTGCTGGGCCCTGGACCCACCATGTTCCAGTCCAGCCACGCGGTCCTGCAGCGCATCCAGCTCCTTCTCCACCTCCTGCCGCTGCCGCTGGCTGTTGTGACTGAGAGCCACGCGCTCCTTCTCCAGGGCCAGCACCTTGGCCAGCAGCTGCCCCTCTAGTTCGTCCATCTTGGAGTGCAGGGCTGTGGGCACCGCAGGCGCAGGGGCTGGGGCCGCTGAGAAGTTCACACGGGCTGGGAGCTCCTGCTGCTTACAGGGCAGAAGAAGGGGCATGTGAGGTCACTTGGAGGGCGGAAGGAAAGAGACACAGGGCTCAGAGATGCCCACCACCCCTGTTGGGTGACCCCAGGTGAGCCTCAGCTTCCCCAAAGGCAAAATGGGGATGGTGATTTCAAATTCAGGCAACACATGTTCAGCGAAAGAGCAGGTTCTTTCCACTGCCGGTGTCTGATGGTAAGCTGAAAGCAGGCTGGGTCTACCCTCAAGAACATCTCAGCCTATGGTGGGGTGGAGGTGGGGGGCTGGCGGTGGAGAGCTCTAGAAGCTCCCCTGGGTGGTTCTCACATTGCAGTCAGGGTTGAGAGCCACGGCTGAGTCCTTCATAACCGAAAGCTGTATGCTGACAGGTTCTTGAAGGGGTGGATTGTCTTAGTCTTCACTCATTCGCTCGCCAGGCTTCTCAAAATGGTGCAAGGCTCTGTGTGGGCACTGGGCAGATGCAGAGGCACAAACCAGGGGCTTCTGGAATAGGGCTGCAATGGTGTGCCTTAGTCAGAAAACCCAGGGCTCACATCCAGCTCCAGAATCAATCTGCTGTGTGACCCTGGGCAAATGCCTCCACTTCTCTGAACCCCTGTTTCCTCACACGCAACAGGGTACAACTGTACCTATTTAGAAGGGGGGTTGGGGGATGGCTAAGTAGTAAATGCCAATGAACAGAGGCTGGTTATTGCAATTACAGCCCAGGGCAGAGTGATCCAAGCTGGTCTCTGACACCCTCATCCTGCCCAGGATTTTTTAGAGCCTCCCTTTTGCTGCCTTATGACCCCAGCGGGCAGGAGAATGGGAGCAGGGGCCCAGGGAGCGGGGCTCTCCTCCCCCTCTCCTGCTGGAAGAAGCCCTTCTGGAGTGGAAAAAGGCAGGCGAGGCCTCAAGTCCAGACTCTGGGAGGGGGTAGTCTCTGGCAGACATTAATAATTCATTGAGCTTCTAGGACCTTCCCTGTCCCCTTGGCTTCCTCCACACTCCCCAAGGGCCCAAGCAGCTCCTGCTCAATCAGCCCTGGGCCTTGCCTGCAGGCTTAGCCCTAGGCCTGAGCTCACTGAATTCTTACCATACTTTCACTGAGCAAGGAATAATCAGGGAGCACCTACTACGGGTTGGGCCCTGTACCCAGTGCTGAAGATAACTGCCGAGGGCAAAAGAGAAAACCAAGAGCACAACCTAACATTTCCTGAGTGCCCCGTGCCTCGCAGGATGGCCCCTCGGCTTGGAGCAAGTACAGGATACCCCTCCCGAGCCTCATTGGCCCAGCCCTGGCCCTGTGGTCATTTGCTGGGTGAGACTGGGCAGATTCCTTCGACTTGAGGTGCATGTCTTCTAGCTGTGTGATGAGCAGATAAATGCGTGTCCTGCCTCAAAGTGCTGGAGGGTGGGGCGGGGAGGCCAGCACCTGAGAGAAGCTGCCATGACCTCATGCTGGGGAGTTGGAGGGACTGACACCCCACCTCGGGAGTGGGAGCAGGGGGGCTAACTTCTTTGGTGTCATTTTTTCCTCATCTACAAAATGAGGGCTTGGAATGCCCAGCTTGCAGACCTATGGTCAGGATTAAATGGTGGTGTGCAGGACAAGAGCCCGGACCAAAGCTGGACCACAGTGGGCCACTTTTTTTTTTTTTTAACATTTATTTATTTATTTATTTATTTATTTATTTATTTAGAGAGAGAGGGCATGAGCGGGAGGGGCAGAGGGAGAGGGAGAGAGAATCTCAAGCAGACTCCCTGCTGAGCGCAGAGCCTGATGCAGGGCTCGATCTCATGACTCTGAGATCACGACCTGAGCTAAAGCCAAGAGTTGGACGTTTAACCAACTGAGCCACCCAGACGCCCCCACAGCGGGCCACCTTTATCCCCCACCACATCCCACCTAAGAGGGCACAGCCACCCATCCGTGCAACCACCTGCTTGGCCCCCCAGACTGGGGTGCAGGCCAAGTGCGGTGGGTGGGGCATGGACTAATGAGCAGCTCTGTACAGCTGGCCCCACCCCTGTTACACTAACCTCCGATACCCTCTCTGGAGGGCTCCTTCTACCTCCCTGGGTGCCTACGAATCCTAACTCTGGCTAAACACAAAGCCTCAGTTTCCTCTTCTGTGAAACAGGGACAACAGGTCCTGCTCTGTCCATCCCCAGGACGGATGTAAGGATGGAAGAGTTGAAGTAACAGGGCCTCCTGGACAATAAAAACAGAATGCAAACTGTGAGCCTTGAATACATCAGCCAACGAAGAGCTGGCTACCTCCAGAATCTTCCCTTGGCCACGAAAGCCCGTGGAGTGTCAGGGCCAGCCACCCACTGCACTTAAAGTGGCTGAACGTCCAGTAAATCTTGGGCTGAGGCAATTAGCTCATAGAAGGCATCCCGTCTCAGTGCCAGCAGGGCCACGGCTGCGTCTCCTGGGCTCCGGCACCCTCTATCCTCAGTTTCCCTCTTTCCACGGGGCCAAGCTTGACAGGAGGGCCACACGTCTGAATGAAACAGGGTGCCAGGCCCGTCCTTGCCCCTGCACGTGTATTTACTCACCAATCCCCACAGCCGCTCATTTTGCTTGGTACTCTTAGTGCCCCCATTTCACAGATGGGGGAACTGAGGCAGAAGCCTTTTTGAATTTCCGACAGCAATGGGGCTGGGCAAAGCTGACACCTCTAGAGCGCTCGAGCAGAGCATCCTCCTCCCTCAGAGGGGGAACAGGACGTCTAGTGCTATTTACACAGACGCCATGGTGAGGAGAAGCCGTGCATGCTGAGCGAGGCGGGCGTGCAAGCTGTTCTTTTGTCAGAGCCACCAGCTCTGTCGCCGGCAGGAAGGCCAGGGAGGAGGTGGGCTCTGAAGATCGTGTGCGGCCCCCTCCCCACCCCAGTGTCTGAATCAGAAGAACATGACTCCCCCCACTTTCCCATCTGCTGCAGGCGCAGGCTGTGCCGCGTGGGCTCCTGGCTGATGCCAACTGGGCCCCTAGCCCAAGATGGGGGGAGGGGTCACCCTCACTCAGGTCCTGACGAGACAGGGAGAGGGGGGCTCTGAACCCACAGACTGTTGCGCTGGGAGTCTGGGTGGGGTTCGGTGTGAGTATATGGGCCCCGAGCCAGAGCCCGGCGTCCCAGCCCAGCTCAGCGCGAACGCGCTGGGCTCATTAGCACTCAGTAATGAGAATGCGGCAGTGGCCCTTGTCCTCATCGTCGCATACCACGTGCCAGGTCCTGCACCGGGGAAGCCTGTGCGCACATTTCACAACCCCTCTCGACAATCGGGGGAGGTGAGGAGGCCCACTTTACAGACGAGGGAACTGAGGCGGTGAGCTGAAGTTTCAGGAGCCCCAGCCCAGGCCCTTCAGGTTCCAGAAGCTGTTCACCTTCTTCCGTCCTTCCCTCACAGTGTGGGTCTCAGTCTGCCAAGTGGGCGGGGTGCTGGCTGCCCTGCCTGCCTGGGGGGGGCCAGTGGAAGAGGTTCCGGGGGCCATGAAGAGGCTGGGAGGGTGCGGCAGGCTGTCAGACCGCGGTGGGGGGGGGTGGCGGCCTCACTGAGGGACCCGGAGAGCAGGGGCCTGCCTAGGGAGGGTGGCTCGGAGGCTGGGAGGGTGTGGGGAGGACCCAACCACCTCGTCCCCAGGTGGGGTCTGCTCCTTTCCCTCGGGGAGCAGAGGGAGGGTGCCGGACTTCAGCGCCCAGCTCACCCCCCGCCCCGGGACAGTGCAGCGCCCAGCTCTGGGGCTGGTGGGCAGGGTGGAGGAGGAGAGGCTTCACGGCGGCACTGTGGGTGCGGTCTCCTCACCTCCCCATCTGACCACCCCCAAGTCCAGTGGGGATCTGCTGGGCTCACAGCTGGGTTCCACCCGCCTAGTGACCTCGTGTACAGCTGCGGTGCCTCAGCTTCCCCAGCAAAAAGGGTGCAGCAATATCTCATCACACTGTAGTGAGAAGTGAGTTATATACTGCCCTGAGGGCAGAGCAGGCCCGGGAGGCGCTTGGTGTCAGTTCTTTTTTTTTTTTTTAAAGATTTTATTTATTTATTTATTTGACAGAGAGAGGCACAGCGAGAGAGGGAACACAAGCAGGGGGCGTGGGAGAGGGAGAAGCAGGCTTCCCGCGGAGCAGGGAGCCCGATGCGGGGCTCGATCCCAGGACCCTGGGATCACGACCTGAGCCGAAGGCAGACGCTTGATGACTGAGCCACCCAGGCGCTCCTTGGGGTCAGTTCTTATTGCCACTACTTAAATAGCTCTTGAAGGAGCCCATCCTTCTCCAACTCTAACCATAAACCTTTTTGTTCAATCATTATGTTGAGAGAAAAAGCAGGTTACAGAAGAACAGTTGGATACCATTTGTATAAAGTTGCAAAGATTCAAAACTAGATCATGTATTTGTAAAAAGCAGGAAGAAACACGTGGGGAGAGATGAATACAAAATCGGGGCAGTGGTGACTGTCTCTTGAGGGCTGGTGGAGCTGGGAGGCTCTGAAGGGCACGAGCTGATTGCAAACGTTCTGGGTCCCCACCTGGATGGCATTCTTTATACCTTTGTGTATGTCTGAGATACTCCGCAATGACTCTCTTTAAAAAAACAGGGAAAAATCCAAAAGCAGAGTCTCTGAGGGTAGAATCTAACCCTGAATCTTAATGGTAGTCTCACCTGGGTCCTCTGGGCCTCTCTAGTCCAGGGCCCAGTCACCTGGGCCCCTACACTGGCCCTTCTCCACCGGGCAGCCAGGGGCAGCTGCCTAACTGCTAAACCAATGGTGTTGCTTAAAATCCTTCAATAGCTCCCCTCTCCCACCTGTAAAGTCCCAGCCCTTCTGATCTCAGCCGTCACTACCCACCCCTGCAGGCTACACCTCCTTTGCACCTAAAGTCCCCAGCTGCCCCCGGCTCCCTTCTCCCAGGGCCTCCGTACATGCTGTTCCTTCTGCTAAGAACACACTTCCTGCTCCAGCCGCACCTCCCCTGGCCAATGCTGGCTCCGCCTCCAGAC